TAATATATTTCTATCTATCCTTTCGTAGAAATTAATTTAAATGAGTTAGTCTTTCATCTCTGGTATTCAAACTATAGGCCTAATGGTCGCGGTCCACAGTAGGGTCGCCAAAATAGTTTGTAGGGTCACCGGATCTTAAGTACTCGGACATTTGTATGTTATAAAATTTATTTGATAGAGTCTCTGGTTTTCGTGACAAAAACAGTATTTAACTTTTATTCCGACACAGGCAAGTGGGTAATAATATTAGCTAGTAGAGTAGCCTACATCATTATAGCGCATCATGCCAAGAAGGCCTCTGTGCTATTCGCATTATTTATCCTGTCGTTGAATCAAAACCAAATGCCTTGGTTAAACCAAGAACTTTTAACAGTTAAAAGTCCTTGTTAAGATATGGGTCGTGACGCCATTAGGGTCGCCAGAATATTTTGTATAGCGCGTTAGATATTATAAACAAATAAATTATTTTTTGAGCTCCATGCTTGTTATATCAATTATCTGATAGGATCTCTCATAGTGAAAATTCAGGTGTTAAATTACATTTGGTATTCGACACAGAGACAAATGATGAATAATTATCTGAGATTATGAGGGCTTCGCCACTGGAGCATCAGGGCAGCCTTTGGCCTCGCCCATTTATCCTACCATCAGGGACATCTATACCTGCCCGTCGAGCATGCGTAAAAAAATGGCTGAATTTTTAAAAAAGCGATATTATGAAGTGTTGTTTTTCTTATAGGGTTTTACATCTCTATCTGTTACTCATTAATTTTGTGCTAAAAAAAGTAATGTGCCACATCTGCTCTCTCTGACTTTCTTATATAGGCCCTATTATAATTAAGCTAAAAATTACCTCTTGTCCCTAGTTACTGTTGTATTGTATTCATGGTTATTGTTATTGTTTGTTTGGCGGATAATAGCTCTTGATGGCTGCCAGATAGAGTAATAAGATTGAATTGAATTGAAGGACCGACTTTTCAGTATAATTTAGCGTCAAGCAGATACAATACACTTTCGATTGTTTACAACGAGAAAGTATAGTGACTAACCCTTAACCATTTATGCGTTTTAACCGCATATAAATTGGTTAGGGCCAAGTTGGTTATTCTGAAATAGCCCAGCGATAGAGTCGCCAATTCAGAAAGTTTTATTACCAGGGCTCTAAATATTAATAAGAATAATAAAATCAGTAGTTTGTTTCCCTTTTGTAGTGAGGTCACCAATTTTATTAAACAATAGCAAACGTGCATTAATAGGCCTATAATGTATGTTTACTTTTTGGCAATTAATACAATATTTGAATTATTTGAAATTAAATTGCAGTTTATAATCCCTTTTTTACATCTTTTTTTAAATATTACTAATACAAGATAGAGAATGGTTATGCTGGCAGGAATCTCTTGATAAACAAAGATGTTTTAGAGTCAGTTTTCCGACAAAGGGACCATAGCCGACGGAGGTGTCCGAGCCAAGGGGCCGACTAGAGCCTCGGTTGACGGCCCGGAATAAATAAATCTCTGGTACGGCTCACGGGGAGAGTTTTTATGGCTTATGGTCCAAATTATGTATTTAGATAACAATATTAGGGATTAGCAATCAAAATAACGTTGGCTTGGATAGGCAAATTATTATTATTTTAATTTTTGATCCGACGGCCTAGTCGTGGCGTCGGACCGGATCCAGGCCTGTCCGATGGGACTAGATTCCTCTTCCCCTCCCCTCCCACCCCACTGGCGCCGCCACTGTTTATTGGTCTTGGATTATTTCATTAATATAAACACCCCAGGAAACTCGGACAAGATACTAACACAAATGTACCTATGCCAGGATGTAAGTTGAAGGCAAGTTTCTTTATAATATCATAGGCTAACTGTAAACTTGGTCGGATAAAAAAAAATTCCATCTTCCCTCCATGCCCAATCGACAGACATCTGGGTCACTCTGTAGAAAGGCTTCCTGTGTGAGAGAATATCACGCTCATTCCTGGAAAGATAGAATATTTCCCACACCATCCAAAATTTAATGTATTGCCGTCATGATCAATTTTCTAAAAATTGTTTTTTTAAAACAAGCATGATAATACTACGAACAACTATTATCAAAACATTAAAAAAAAAAAACACATCTCAGTGTAATGCTAACATACTTTCAACGTTGGATTCTGATCCGATCTTTTTTATTGCCATAGTTTTCTAATTTGAATAGACCATCATAAGTTATTATAAGTTAGATGGTTGGTCTGAGTACCATAACCTCATTTGTCCTAAACCAACATTCTCCGATAGCTAAGTGTCTACAGCCAACCACCCCACACCCACCCATGGGACAGTAACATTTAGCTATCGTCTCACTTGTGAGCTAGGCCTAAATTCGGTTTAAGATGGGATACTTCATAAGCTAAAGATACGAAATATGAGGCCATGCCTAGATGAGACCTGTCCTTGAAAGAGCTAAAAAGTCAACAACCTGTTAGTTCATTACTTCGTTATTTAAGTGAATTGCCAACACAGAAAGCGTGGATGGGTTATAAGTTAAAACAATGCTCCCACTGGGGGCCTACTTTTTATGTTGCTTTACTTTTGTTTTTACTTTACTTATGTATTTTTCTTTGGTTGTTTTACTGTTTTAATGGATGCACTACCTGATGGTTTGTGCCGCAGTTTTAAAAGGGTATATCTGAATAAATTAAATTTATATACAAGAGAGTGTTATTTCATGAGTATTCATTATGTATTCTTTAGTTTTAGGACTAAATAAGATAGACGTGATTAGACGAATTATTCTTCTTCTTATTCTATATTTGGCAAAAAAAAAAACAAAGTGCAATACAATGGTGGAATAAATTTAGAATACAAATACAACAAAAAATGAATGAGTGGGCAGCGACACAAATGCGAACTTAATCACTATAACAGAAAGTCTGCGAACCTCACCCATCCAGTTTAATATAGATACAATTATAAACAATATAGGTCAATTATAATATAATAAAACAAAATGAACAAAATACAGAAAGCAATTATCTAAGTTAGTGAAATACGAAACTAAATATAGAGCAAATTAATTAATCATTGATCAGAAACAAAAAAAAAAAAAGAAAAAATTTAACTTTAAAGAATTTAAATTATATATATGTATATAACATGTGTATATAATTGATTAAATATAATTCAAAACTATCCCACGAGCAGTTTGGAATTTTCAAGACTGATTCTTACCGCCCACCTTCTTCAGCATTCCTTAAATCAATATTACCTATATACAATATATCAGTATTGATGCTAACCAAGTATACCAAAGCTCTGTCCAGATTATCGAATTTTCTTCACCAAAAAACTTCTGTATGCCCATATATTTATTGCAATATCCCGACCTTGATTATAAGTCGCGTCTTAAGCATCTTGACTTGTTACCGTTATCTTTTAGGCGTAGAGATATCTTTATTTTTTTTTTAAAGTTCTTTTGGAATTTATGACATTTCTATAGATGACTATGTGCATTTTAATTGCTCACAGGGCCGTCCTGCCACCAGACTTTCGTCAGATTCTTTAATGTTAAACAAAATCCCATAAATCGTTTTATTTTCAACGAATAGTGCTCATCTGGAATAATCTTCTTTTAGCAATTCGATCAGATTCTTATTTTCCATCTTTCACAAACAAAGTGATTGAATGTTACAACTCTAAATTGAAATCTAATTTTTTTTTTTTGCTGATAACATCTGCACTTGGGTTTCATTTTGTCACTGTTCTGATTGTTGTTAGACTATGATCTTTTTTTTCTTAATTTTAATTGTTATTTGTAAATTGGACTTATGTTTGTAGTTTCAATTTATCGCATTCCAGTGTTAAGACGGCCCTGTAGAGGTGCTTGTTCACCTGTAGATGTGCTTGTTCACCTGTAGATGTGCTTGTTCACCTGTTCTGTTCTTGCTTTTTAAAGTTGAATAAAATACAAATTTAGACCTACATCAATCACCAAAATATCCAATAGTAAAAATAATAAATTAATAGTAAAAGGCATTAATTTTACAAATTTTGTCAACTAAATAACTAATGTTATTGAAAGAAAACATGCTTCAGTAAATATCTCTTTTATAAAAAACGAATATAAATGAGAAATGAAGGAAAGAAAACGAATGGAGATGAGAAGAAAGAAAAGAAAGTGAAAGAGAAGAGGTAGAGAAAGAACAAAAAACAATAAAGATAATAGAACAAGAATTTGAAAAGGAAAAGTAAACCAATAATAGAAAGAAAAAGAGAGTAAAGGAAAATATGAAATGAAAGAAAAAAAGAAAAAACAAACTTAAAATGAAAGAAAAGAAAAAATGAAAGAAGAAAAGGAAAAAAAAAACAAAAAGAAAGAAAACGGAAGAAAGAGATAATGAAAGGGATTGAAAGAAAGAAAATGAAATGAAATAAAAAAAGAAATAAAACGAAAGAAAAAAGGACAAAATAAACTGAACTGAAGGAAAAAAAAGTCGAAGAAAATAAAAATGGAAAGGAATAAAAATAAAAGAAACGTAAAGAAAAAGAAAGTGACTAAAGGGAAAAAAGGAATTCAAATGAAAATAATAGAAA